GCTCCGCCCCGCTGCGCTCCAGACCGGCTGCTCAAAGCAAAGCCTACAGCCTCCACTGTGGCTCCCATCCGCTCTGTTCTGGGTTCCTTGGAGATCGTAGAGCGCATGCACGAAATGATTAAATTCAAAGCAGCAAAACATGCGGAAATGATCCATGGTTTCCGCAATTCATTAAAAATAATTACAATTCATTAATTTTTGGGGGATTTTTTCATACATTTTTATAATTTTTAAAAATTATTTTTATTTTTCGGTGTAACAATAAACATATACCGAACCGAACCGAAAACCATGATCACGAAACCGTGAACCGAACCGAACTTTGGATTTTGTGAACCGTTCCACCCCTAATATATATAAATATATAATTTATCGACGATCAGAGTCTGAGTGATGTTTTATTTTGAAAAATATAAAAAATTGCCGTATTCTCTCCCAGTTGGTGCATCTGTGCCTCTTGACACAGGTTAATTCAGTTCAAGACTAATCCTATCTATAACATCCTATCTTTGTGAAGCGAGATTTTCTGCGGTTACAGCGACCAAAACAAAGCTACGCAGCAGACTGGACATCAGGAGCACACATCAGTGTGTCATTGTCTCTGATTACGCCTCGATGGGACCGGCTTGTTTTATTTTTATGCTGTTTGTATTTGATTTTATGCCAGTCATATCATTTTAACTGATCGTATTTACCCCCCGCGTGGACCGGCCGGTCCGTATCCCCCCAGTCCGTGAAAATATTGTCTGACTTAAAGCGGTCCGTGGTGCAAAAAAGGCTGGGGACCGCTGATCTAGGCTATAGAATTCCCTATTTTTAAGTACAATGTATCTCTTTTTACAATTCAAATAATGCAATGTGAAATACATGACCACATATCCATAAAATATTTTGATGACTAGACACCTCTCATTGGAGACACTGATGAATATTTCTCTATCATATTTTTGTGGTGCTGCAATTTCCAGATGGTCCCTATGCATTATGAGCGGTAAGCTCTTAACAGAGGACAATGCAAGTCTCCCTGCATGGTGGTAGGCTGGTTTGGAGGAAAATAGGGTTGAAGATCACTGTCTGCCTTTCTGTGTTTATAGAAAGTGCTGGTTTCTGCAGAGGCGTTGTTACTCTGAAGAATGTTTGATCTGGAACAGAGTGGTTTATATTTGCACATGTTTTTGTGTGAAAACATTTACTTTTTTGGAGCTTGAGGGATAATTAGAGTAGAAATCATGATATAGATTAAGTCAGAGAGGGGAGGTCTGTTCAGAAAGTCATGGTCATTGAAGGCTTCCTAATACAAAGTCATTTCCTAACAGCTGTTTCACAGCAAGCAGCCTGCCATCCTCTGCGCTTCCCTTTTTATCAACTCGCAGGAAACTGAAAAAGGTGAGAAAAAAACTTCAGTTTCCACATCAGAATGATGTTCTTATCAAGTTTCATGTGGTATTACACATTTTAGTTTCTAACCATATGTCTATATTCGATTTTTGGGTTGCATTGTAAAGCAAATATTGCTCTGATACATATATAAAACAGACTGTTGGTTTAGTGATGATGCTTTTGGTGTTAAAGGGCCTACAGTACATTATGTACAGTCATCCTTTTTATGTATTTAACTAAATTAAAATTCAGTTTAAAGTCAGGCTTAAAGGTTTATACTGCTTGATATATGCATGTCTAAGCAATAAAACTCTACCTCTAGTCTAAGCAGTAGAAGCAGCAGAGATGAGATTCAAGTAGAGATGAAGTGGCTCTATTTGGACCTAATTTGCTAAGTTGTGTTTTGTTTTGTTTAAGGTACACAAAAAATATGCTCATCATCCAAGATTTGGAGCACATATTTTGTGTCCAATCCTGACAGGTGGAGCATAGACTGTCAAGACACAGGACAGAGGGACCCAGTATTCAAAGCGAGACAGACAGTGGGATAATTAAAGCGTTTACTTAAACAAGAGCGGGCTATGGTCCGCGGAATCAGTGGATAGGGCGTCTATCAATAGAAACTCTGTTGGAGAGAAACATAGGTTAGTGACCATGATAATCTGACAGGGGATGATTATCCATGGGAGTCACTAACCTGGATTTAACAATTCAGTCCACTGCCAGAGAATGAGGTAGGATCCATCCAGTCAATTGGAGGCGGCCGGTGCCGCTCAAAGTGTCCCAGATGCTGCAGCCTTGGAGAACATGCAGGAGTCCGAAACCAGATCAGAGAATTTTATTCAATCATGGAAATATGGCATTTCTGATAACTGTTGTTAAATATTATTTACCATGTTTACTGCTCATAGTTTTGGGCATTAAAAAAACAGACATTTTTCAACTGCTGCGTGTAGAATTAAATGTGTATCTCAGTATTTTTAATTATGTTCAATTTTAAGCTTTAGATAACATCTAGTAACATCATTGCAAAAACACGCTCTGCACCACTGTTAAAGAAAAGAAATTGAGCATATGTTTTTCACAACACTCTAAAACGTTTTTCATTAACCAGCTCTTGCTTATATAGGTTTGAAGTTGATATTTTAAAGGCTTAAAATTTCTACACTATAAAAACTGAAGGGATCAGTTTATATTAAGTATTACTAATTTTTTATGGATATATATATATGTATGTATGTATATATATATT